AGTGTTTTTTGTATTATTTTGGAGTTTTGCACTTGAGGTGATTTCTAATAACTTCAAGATATTTACGGTCAAATATTTAAGTTTGAAACCACTCTACTTCTGAAAGTTTCTGATAAGTTCATTAGGACATCACTATTAAGAAGAGATGTTTAATAGGTCATGCTAATTAAATGAGGATATTGCTGTTACAAATTACAAAAATAAAATAGGTCATGGAGTTCTAAAAGCAATCTATTATATATGCATCATGCACATTATTATTAATACATGCATCATTTGAATGTTTTAGAGACTGTTTCTAAATATGCATTCATATATATTCTAGTGTTTGATGTTGTTGCCTTTTTTAGATATTCAGAAGATTATTACCTTCACATAGTCACAAAACTGCAGAACTGCACCTGGATAAGGAGACCGGAAGAATCTACAAAATTCAGGTAATTTTCAGTGTCTCATTTAGAAAAACTCTTTATCCTAGATTTGGGTAACAAGCCATAAATTTAAATCTTCTCTTTCAAAAAGATAATTTTGTGTTGCTTTTAAACTGCGTTCATAGCTATACATTTCTATTAATCTTTTGATACTGAAGCTCTTCTTGTTTGTTTGAATTGAACTGTGCAAACTGAGTAGGATAAAAGAACTACACAAATGAAGTAATTTCACCTATCTCCACTGTAATGAATAGTTAACTAACTTAAGTAGAATGGATTAAAATATTCCTGACACAAAGCCTACAGTATTAAAAAAAAATTCAGTAATGTGATTTTTTCCATCTGAACTGGCACTCTGGTAAAAGACTGTGTAATGAGGCAGTGTATTTCTTACCCCAAGACTATTGCTTCTATTACAGAAATACCCAAGGCACTCATTAGGTTTGACGCTTCATGTCATGGCCCCTGAGCATGTAAGCACGTGATTACATCTGTCCTTGTTCGGGATGGCACATAAGTACATGCTCAGTAGGGACAGTGATCCCTGAAAAGCTTCCACTCTCATTTGGAAATGCATCATGCTGGTTTTAGAGAACAGTTTCACTGTGCCAACCCTATTTGCTCCAGGGGGAAATACTCTCTTGAATTACATTATTACATGGATCAGAATTAAATATTCTGTCAGGATCATTAAAAATGAATAAACTGACCTACCTTCCAACTCTTTGGAGTTAACTAGCATTGAAAACTTAATATCCACATGCTCAGCATGATACTTTTGGAAGTCATTTTTTTTTGGGGGGGGGGGGTAAAGCTTTTTGTGAAACATAAGTTCTGTGTTTGCTGTGTATCATAACTGACTAATGGTGTTTCCCAAAGCTGAGGTAGGAGAATACACAGAGTTAAGGTTTAAGAAACTTACAGTTAGCTCAGGCAGGCTTTATCTGTGCACAGAGATACCAGAGCATGATAAGGACCTGTACAAGCAGCCCATTCTGTTTCAGAACAGGCAGGTTGTCTTGTACAGAGTTGACAAGAGCTGAAGCTGCTCTTACCTGCTCTTCACCCTGCTACATTTAGGCTTTTTTGTTTCTCAATCTTTCTGTTAACTTCTCTTCCTTTTGAACGAACTAGCCACCACTGACCAGCAATTCGCCACTTCTTCTCCTGTGCTAGCTGTGTAAGTCAGTGGCAGAGTAACCACTCCTTGTTCCAGCTTAACCTCTTCATTTATTGCTTCTGCAATCTCCCTTCCACTAGGCCAACTTCTTCTACATCTTCTAGGCCTATGGGAATGAAATGTGATACCCTCTATCTAAACTGTTGTATGAGACTGTTGGACTTTTAAGTACAAGATGCTTGCTGTTCCTCTTGCTGTCTGTCTTTGCCTTTCAGCAAGAAATGTGGGTCATAAGTAGTCAAGGTGGGTTATACAACCAATGATCAGACTGGAAATAACTCAAAAGTGAAAACTGTGGAGTGCACTAGCCACCTAGAAAATGTGGACTGTATGTACATTGAGGTGAGCTTGCTAGCTTTAACTTAGCTTAAAATTCCAAGTGAAAAAAATCTTTTGAAACTAACGGTTTCATACAGGCTGGTCAAACTCTTGTTACTTAATCGACGTTCAGGGGCTGCGTTGTTATGGTTTCATTGCTTTTTATCATCCAAATTAGCTGGAGTATTAGCTAGTTCATATGTACACAACCCATGCTGCAATTCTGATGACTGTACCGTATATTCTTCTGTCCCTATGAAATTTGATCTTATTTATTGTAATCAAAAAATTTGATTGATATGACCAAGGACTGGTACTTTGGTTTAGGGCATTGCAGATGATTATTTTGCAAAAGATGTGTGCTTTTGGAAAAGCCTTTTCTTTCTTTTTCAATTCTCTCAAATTCCTCTTCTCTGTTGTTTTCTGCAAGTAGGATATTGAAATTTTACAGTTGTCCTTGCTCTCAGACCGTATTGGAGACTTTCAAGGTTCTTAGCAGATGGTCAATAGAGGCTTTATAAAAAAAAAAGTTAAAAAAAAGAGAAAAACTAAGTCAGTATAAAATTTACTAACTAAATCTGTGTACACTGCATGCTTACAGCACTCCCAAATTTATTTATCAGACTTAAGCACAAGAGCCTGGAACTAGCTTCGCAGGGACACTTTAGCTGAGAAATGATGCATTGACAAAGATCTATGGGGAACAAAGGTTCTAGAAATGTGGGGAAATAAATGAATTAATAATCCCCTGGCAAGACATCTCTTTCTTTTTCTAACTTTGCCTAGTGTCAGTAATGCATAATAATTGTGTAATACAAATATTATTCAAATCTCTTTAAGTAGGTAGATAAACACAGCCATTTTCCAGAAGAAGAAATTCATCTCAGAGGGGCTGTGCAGCAGGCATTGG